TGCCTGCAGCAGCGTCTGTGATCATGGACGTGTAGGCAGATTCCTTTAGTATTGATTGATGACTCCCTGGGTGGTGATGGCACACATATTTAATATCAGCACTCGGGAGGCAGGGGCAGGCGGATCTCTTGAGTTGAAGGCCAGCCTGGTCTACAGAGCCTGACAGTCAGAGCTGTTAACAGAGAACCCTATCTCGAAAAACAAAACAAAACAAAAAAAGTTGAGATTGATTCCTGCTTAGCTACTAAAACTACTAAGTCTCTTAAGTGTTAAGTGATGTTTTTAGGGTCATTAACTTTTTGGGTTGACCTTTATAAAATTAGTTAAGGAAATAAACAAAGTATGGATTTAGCAGTAGACAGAGTAGAAAATAGATCAAAGCCATCAAAAAGATGTTGGGTGCTTGTATTGAGCTGTATGCAGTGGCTCAGTGATGTTCTTCTGTTCTCCACAGGGCATTGCCTTCCAAGTCCCTTACTTTAAAACATAAAACTTTTAATGCAGTGTATGTACAGTTTTCCTTATGCTCTGATATCTCTATATTACCTAATACATGATGTAAGCAGTTGTTAATACTGTATTATTTAAGGAGTATTGACAAGGAAAAACATTTCCTTGTTTAGGACAGATCTCTGGAGTTAGTTTAGACCCAGAGTTGGATGGACCGTGAATGTGGGACTTAGAGCTGTTTATATTGTCTGTGCCTGTTTTCAGTTCTTTCTCCTGGGGCACTTGAGAGAGTAGTGAAAACCAGTATGGGGTAGTAAAAAGTGCACTGGATTAGGGGTCAGTCCTAGAGTGGTTTCCTCATCCTTTTTTATGTTTCTTTCTATTTTGGCGGTGCTAGGTGTCAGACCAAGGGGCGGCCTTTTCATTTCCATCCCGTGATAACAATTGTGTCGGGACAATGAAGCTGTACTGACAGCTGCACTGTGCACTGTAGTATGCTTACAGACTTGCCTTGTTGATGGGCTGCTTTTGGGATAACAGTGTGTGCTAAAACTGATTTAATGGAGCACAGAGCACTACTGTTTAATTTAATAGTAATGGTTGGGACCACGGACTACTCGGGTTGATTGCAGTAATAACTGAGACTGTCTGATTGGGAGATGCTATTGGTGATTTTCCTGTTCCTCTGGGATGACTTCAGAGCTGTTGAAGTTTTAGGTGATTGTTTTCTTCTTCTTCTTTTTTTTTTTTTTTTTTTTTTTTTTTTTTTTTGCATTTTTGCCTCCCCTTTCTTTCCTAGAATGTTAGTATCTAGATTTCTGAGCAGAATTAAAGTTTATGAGAAAAAAGAAAAGAAACTCACTTAAGTAATGTGAAGGAAAGAAACAGTTACTTCTGTTTTCATCAACTTAAAAAGAGCTTCTAGACACAAAATGGTCTTGTATAGGATTGTGGATGTGGTTGTTTAGATAAGGGGGTATTACTCAATGTATGCAAAACTGATATTTAGTTTCCTTTAATACTTAAAAATGACATTTCTATTTCAGATTATATTTTATCTTGGCCAGTATATTATGACTAAACGATTATATGATGAGAAGCAGCAACATATTGTGTATTGTTCAAATGATCTTCTAGGAGACTTGTTTGGAGTGCCAAGCTTCTCCGTGAAAGAGCACAGGTAAATAAGTCAGAAAGCTGCAGCTCGCCTCCATCTCTGTCCCTCTGTCAGAGAGAAACTGTGGCCATGCATACAAGATGCTCTACTGCTGCTGACACTCCTGGCCCTGATACTCATTTGGGGAGGGGATAGTATATTGTTTGGGAACCTGAATTCCTGGAGTATTACAAGCCCGTTTGTTGATATATGTTGTTTGTTTAATTGTGTGTGAGCATGTTCCTTGTGAGTGTGGCGTTCAGAAGATAGCTCCCTCCACTGTGTGAGTTCTTAGGATTGAACTCAGGCCATCAGGCCTGTCCAGTCTTTGGTTGTTTGGGCGTGTAAGGGATCTAACTTCACTCAGGTCTAGGTTCTCTATTTATAATTTTTCTTTTCCTTACAAGGAAAATATATACAATGATCTACAGAAACTTGGTGGTCGTAAGTCAGCAAGGTAAGTTAATTTTGAATACTCTGAAAATACTGTAACTCTGAAGATAGTTCTTTCTGACTCAGGGTCTCATGTATCCTAGTCTAACCTCAAACTCACTATGTAGTTGAGAACCCTTGAGCTTTTAGAAAGTGTTTGAGTATCTTGGTGTGTGTGTATATGATACATGTCTGTGGGTGGGACACGGGCCATGATGTCCATGTGGAACTCATGTGACATTCTTTTTATGTGGGCTCTAGAAACCCTCCTCAGACTTTTAGGCTTCCGTGCAAGCGTCCTGCCAGTCCCTCTAATCGTGTTTTAAGGATTGGAGACATACTTAGTGGAAGAGTGCTTTCCCAGCCTGTGTGCAGTTTTGCTGCAATCCCTAGCACTGTAAAGTAAAAGGCAGAACAAAACGGTACAGAGACATTGTTGCTATCTATGTGCATGTATTTTGTGTTTCTGGTTCTCTTATTTATTATTTTAGTCACCTCTTTCAGTGCTGACTAATTTTGTTATAAATTATTACTTATGTGTGTCAGTGTTTTGCCTGTGTGTATGTCTGTGTACTATCTGTGTGCAGTGCCTGTGAGGACAGAGGAGGCCATCAGGTCTAGAACTGGAATTACAGACAGTTGTGAGATATCCAGATTTGTCTGGAATAATAGCCAATGATCTTAACCACTGAGCCATACCAGCCTCTGTTTACTTTTTTGCTTTGTTTTGAGATTGGATCCCTGTAAATTTTCTAGGCTGGTTTGGAACTCAGTCTTGCTGCTCTTCCAAGTAGCTGGGATTACAACCCACATAGCATTCATTCATTTATTCAGCACTGCTGGGAACTGGACCCAGGGACTCATCTGTGCTTGGAAAGTGTTGTTTTAGCTAGCTGCCTCAACAGCTCTGCAGCCAGTGGTAGCACACGTCTTTAATACTAGCACTCAGGTGCTAGAAACAGGTGGATCTCTTGAGTTGAAGGCCAGCCTGGTCTCCAAAGTGAGTTCCAGGACAGCCAGAGCTCTTACACAAGGAAACCAACCTCCCTCCCTCCCTCCCTCCCTCCCTCCCTCCCTCCCTCCCTCCCTCCCTCTAATGTGTGTGGGTGTTTTTTGTTTTGCCTGTATGTATGTTTGTGCTTCCCAAATGGGAAGTACCCACAGAGGCCAGAAGAAGGGAATTGATCTCCTAGACTATTGTAAGTGAGCCGCTACCTCTTGCAAGAGTGTCCCGTGCCATTACTACAACCCTCTTTTGAAAAAAAAATTATGGCGCCTGATGTGGTGATGCATACCTTCAGTCTCAGCACTTGGGAGGCACAGGCAGATGGACCTGTCTAGCCAAGTCTACATAATGAGACACTGTCAAAGAAAAAGAAAAAAGTTTGTATGTCCCCTGTATGTGGGTGTGATATGCACATGAGTGCAGGAGTCCACAGCAGCCAGAGGTGTCAGATTCCCTAGAGTGGAGTTACAGGGGGTTTTGAGCCACTTGCCATGAGTGCTAGGAAACCGAACTTAGGACAACTGTAAGAGCAGTGTGTGTTCTTACCCACTGAGTCATGTCTCCAGTTTCATTATTTTCCTTAAAAAAAAAAAAAAACCAAACCAGAAAACTCAACCTACATTGACTTGTGCTTCTGTGAGCACTTTTATGTGCTGTGATGTGCATATGAAGTCAGCTGACAGCTTGAGGGAGTCACGTGGGTCCTGAAGATCAGACTCTGGAGTGAGCTCGGGTCATAAGGTTTGGGCAGCAAGTTTCCTTATTTCCTGGCCTGTCTATTAATGTGTGTAGCACCGAGGTGTGCTTACCGGGAAGATTCTAGCCTAGGTCCATCCTGGGTCGGAGCTTTATTGCGTCTGCCCCAGAGAGCAGAGCTAATGAGTCTTAGCTCACTTCCTCTTCCTCCCAGCATTCTGTTCTGTTTACTCCACCCACCTAAAGGCTGGCCTATCAAATGGGCCGAGGCAGTTTCTTTATTAGTCAATGACCTTCCTCCATCACTTAAGTGCTGGGACTATAGGTGTGTGCCACTATGTCTGCTCCCTTGATCCATTTTTAATAAGTCTTTCCAAGGGGGGAAATACTGATTTGTAGTAGTTGCCAAATTTCATGGTATAAATGATATCATTTCTACAGTATAAAAACACTTAAGTTGGGAAGACCGATAGCATCTCCCAAACCTTTAAAGATGTTTTGAGACAAGATTTCTAGTATGCATCTCAGGCTATTTTGGAGTTAGTGATTCTCCTCCTCCAGCCTCTGAAGGACCCTAGGATTATAGGATTACGTACCCCCATATTTGGCTAGTAGTGTGTATTTAAATACCGGTAGGTGTAGGCTTCAAAACACTATAAACCTTAAAAAGTTTATCCTTAGACTGGGCAGTGGTGGGACTCACCTTTAATCTCTGTGAGTTTGAGGCCAGTCTGGTCTACAGAGCGAGTGCCAGAACTGGCTCCAAAGCTACAGAGAAACCCTGTCTCAAAAAAAAAAACAAAAAAAGGGGAGGAGGGTTATCTTTAAACTGTGTTCAGAAACCTGTTCAGTTTGTAGACTGAATTGACCACTCTTGTAATCCACTATTCCATTCTGTATTCAGAGTGTATTGTGTTATGTGTTATTGTGTATACTGCACTACATACCTGTTTCCTGTGTACCATTGAGATTTCGCATATTGTATAGTATAGTATTTCATTGAATTGTTATATGTTTGGGTTTCAATACCAAAGTAGTGTCTATAAAAGGCACCAGGATCTTATCTTAACCCAGAACAAAGTAATGACTAATTTGATAACTGAGACTTTTTTTTTGAGAGAGTATCCAGTTTGGCCTTGAACTTGTAAACTTTCGGCTTCTCCCTCTTGAATGTGCTGGGATTACTGGTGACCTCTAAGGCTATTAATAAAAGTCAAATGGTGGCACAATACACAGTTATGGAATCTGTGGTAGTACTTTAAATTTTCTCAAGTTATCTTTTTTTTTTTTTTAAATCCTTGCACAGGGGCCATGCTAACCTTCTCTGTATTGTTCCAATTTTAGTGTACGTACTGCCAAAGCGAGCACTCAAGTATCTTTTTTTTTTTGTTTTTTCGAGACAGGGTTTCTTTGTAGTTTTGGATCCTCTCCTGGAACTAGCTTTTGTAGACCAAGCTAGCCTTGAACTGACAGAGATCCACCTGCCTCTGCCTCCCGAGTGCTGGGTTTAAAGGCGTGTGCCACCACAGCCCCACTAAAGTATCTTAATAGTCATTCATTTAAATAAACTGACAGATTACTAGAAGAATTCAAGGGTCAGCTGTAAATTATGTATTTTTATTTTTGTATTTTAGTTCAGTTAAAGTAATTTTGGAAATTCTAGATCAGTTGTCAACCTTGTCACACCTGGCACTTTATTAATTTGTCCTGTAATTTTTACACGTATTAAGGCAAATTCCCAGGTAACAGCCTGTCTATGTATTCGGTTTATAATCTGTGTATTTCCATAGAATGCAAGAGTTTTTATGGTACTACGTCATTTCAGAGTGCTCAGAGCCCAGGCCTGACTACACTGTTGATGGAAGTGCTTCAAAGTGGTGGTGATCGGTATTTGACTATGATTTTGAGTAATTTTGTCCTTCCCAGTTCTGAAATTTTGATGTTTTGAGAGCTTGATCTGTAAAACTAAATACCAACTGTACCTGCCTACCCGAGTAGCTCATTTAAATTAATTAAAAGCGTCCACCCTCCTACAATCTCTTGTTGAGTGCTGTCACACATTTTTTTCATAGTTAGACTCTTGGTATCCTCTTTATCAGCTCTTTCTACACTGCATTTCAAACTTCTGGTCTTTTGGTTTTTTTCAAGACAGGGTTTCTCTGTGTGGGACCCTGGCTGTCCTGGAGACCAAGCTGCATTAAACACCTGGCCTTACCCAGTTTCTAGTCTTAGGTTTCCTTGCCTCTGTGTTCTATTATTTGTTTTGCCATACTGGACTTTGGGCCCAGGACCTCACACATGCTAATTGAGGCCTCTTATTTAGGCCTCTGAATTACCTGTAACTTTTGATTTTGACAAGAGTCTCACTGAGATGCTCTAGCTGGCCTCAAATTGTAATCCTATCTGAGTCTGTCCAATAACTGGGGATGATTGGTGTATATCATGCCCAGTCGTTTGTTGTTGTTTGTTTCTATGGGTTTTTTTTTCTTCTTTTTAAATTCTGTTTTGTCAGTGATTTGCTGCTACTCCTTATTTAGGAGTTTTATGATTGCTCCCTGGGGAGAATAGTTCTGTGAGCTAGGAAATGAGCTTTATTTCTTGAACTAAAACCCTATTACAAGATGGCCTTAGGCAAGTTTATGGAACTGCTCAGAAGAATGATATGTTGTGCTGTCTGGCTGAACAAACATGACTCTTTGCACAGTAAATGAATTAGTTTAATTTTGTGCCACAGTAACTGTGTGTGTCTGGATGCCTTCTCACAATACTGGTTTTTCTCTCTGGAATGCCTGTTATACACCAGCTTCAGCATAGGCTATTACAAAATGTGTCTTCATATAATCCCCCCCCCCCCCATCTACCAAAAGATGCTTCTTTGTTTCTTCTGCTAGTATATTCCATTCTCTTTCCCCCGCCCCCAAGACAGTGTTTCTCTGTGCAGCCCTGGCTGTCTTGGAACTTTTCTTTGTAGACCAGGCTAACCTTGAACTCACAGAGATCCACCTGCTTCTGCCTCCTGAGTGCTGAGTGCACTACCATGCCCGGTATCTGCTAGTATATTTTAAAATTTTGCTTATTTTACTTTTTATTAATTATTATTATTATTTTGGTTTTTTGAGACAGGCTTTTTCTAGCTTTGGAGCCTGTACTGGAACTCATTCTATAGACCAGGCTGACCTCGAACTCACAGAGATCTGCCTGCTCTGCTTCTGCCTTCCAAGTACTGGGATTAAAGTTGTGCACCACCACTGCTGGGCTTATTTTACTTTATAATTACTGTTTTAAAGTTGAATTTATGTCCATGTTTTAGCATGCAAATGACACTTGGGACATACATGGCTAATGCTGTTGAAAGGTTAAATTTTGTACAGGGTTGGGTTAAACTGGTATATGTTGAATTCTTATTCTTTGTTTTGAGTCAGTTTTTCCTTTCTCTTAGAGTCTTCAGACTCCGGCACATCAGTGAGTGAGAACAGATGTCAGCCTGCAGGTGGGAGTGATCAGGAGGTAATAGTTAATTTATTTCTTACTCTTCTACAAGGTTTCTTTTTAAAACTTTCTATTTATGTGTATTGTCCTTGAGTGTTTGCATTCCCGGGCCAGTAGTGGATGCCGTATCACCTGGAGTTGGAGTTACAGGTGGTTGTGAGCTGCCCCAGACGTGAGTGATGGGAGCCAAAGTTATCCATTCCAGAACAGCACATGTTTTTAATCTCTAACTCATCTCTCCAGCTTCATGACAAATAGTTCTTGAAAATTGGGAAGGTTATATAAAACAGAGCTCGAAGCAGCCTGTGCGGTGTTACTTTGTCATATTTTACGTTTTCTTGTGTGTTTAGGACCCTGTGCGAGAGCCACAAGAAGAGAAGCCTTCATCTTCAGATTCATTTTCTAGACCGTCTACCTCATCTAGAAGGAGAGCAATTAGTGAGACAGGTATATATGAGTAATTATTTGGCATATTACATAGTTGTTTGGGGGGTTCTTCCTTTAATACTGTGGTTTTGGGGTCAGATGACCTTTTCACAGTTGCCTAAGACCATCATAAAACAGATATTTACATTTATGATCCCTAACAGTAGCAACAAAAATAACTTTGGTTGGGGTCACCACACCATAAGGAGGAACTGTATTAAAGGGTAGCCGCATTAGGAAGAACCATTGCTCTAGACCCCTGGTTTTGGTTCTATAATAAAAGATGAAGTCTTGTTTTCTATTTTATTTTAATTATTTTTTTGAAACAGTATCTCTGCAGAGACCAGGCTGGCCTCACTCACAGATTGACCTGCCTCTGCCTCCCAGGTGTTAGGATTAAAGATGTGTGCCATCATATCTAGTATACTCACATTTTTATTTTTTTAAAACTTTCTCTTTATTTATTTGTTTGTTTGTTTGTTTGTTTATTTATTATGTATACAATGTTCTATCTGTGTGTATGCTTGCAGGCCAGAAGAGGGCACCAGACCCCATTACTGATGGTTGTGAGCCACCATGTGGTTGCTGGGAATTGAACTCAGGACCTTTAGAAGAACAGGCAATGTTCTTAACCACTGAGCCATCTCTCCAGCCCCAGAATACTCAAATTTTTAATGCTTAGTGTTGACAGAAATATTGTATATTGTTGGGTCAATAAGAGCTCTAAGTGGATCCAGTTTATTGTAACTTTTGGAGGTAAAGTTCAGAAAAAACATTGGAAACTTTTCAGTGTTTTTAGTTGGACAGATCCAGTGAAACACTGACTTTAAGAATGTAAATGGTTGACTTTTGTTACAAATAGGAACTAAGACATTACAGTTTCTGAATCAGCCACAGCACAGGGATTTAACTACCTGTTTCCCTTTAATACATAGAAGAAAACTCAGATGAACTACCTGGTGAGCGGCAAAGGAAGCGCCACAGATCCCTTTCCTTTGATGAGAGCCTGGCTTTGTGTGTGTTGAGAGAGATCTGCTGTGAAAGAAGCAGCAGCAGTGAGTCCACAGAGACCCCCTCACATCAGGTACGTGTCGGTTCTGATTATTTAAGAAATACTTTAGATCTGTTTTATTATTATGTATATATTTATATAATACACCACCACCAGGATTATTTTTTATGTAAGGGTTTTGTCATCTAGTATGTTTCACATGCATGCACTGTCCTTGGAGGCCAGAAGAGGATGTTGCATCCCCTGGACCATAGTATGAGGGTGGTTATGGCCTCTGTGTGGGTGTGGAACCTGGGTCATCTGTGAGAGCATCAAGTGCTCTAAACTCCTGAGTCATCTCTGTAGTCCTGTTTTCTAGTTTTAATTTTTTTTTTCAAGGCTTAGTCCTTAAAGTTCCTTTTTTTGGTTTTTCGAGACAGGTTTCTCTGTAGCCTTGGAACCTGTCCTGGAACTCACTCTTGTAGACCAGGCTGACCTCGAACTCACAGATATTCACCTGCCTGTCTCCAGAGTGCTGGGATTAAGGGCGTGCGCCACCACCGCCCAGCAAGTCCCTAAAGTTCTAACAAACTATAAATAGAATGCCTGTTACGGGCCCATTGAGAGGAACATTTTGGTTCAAGAGGTGGTTTTCACTGGGGATAGACATGACTGAGAGAAGAGGCAGAGCCAAGGGATGTGCTGCCAGGTAGCTAGGGTGGGGCTTTTTCAGCAGTAGCTTGCCATCCCCCTCAAGCCTTTATTTTGTTCCCTAGTTTTATAATAAATAAACATAAAAGGAATCTTTAACAAGTGCCCTTGTTTGATGTGAGACTGATGCTGAACACGGTGGTAAAATTTAATCTTAAATCTGTATAGAGCCCCTGCTTCTAGTCCTAGGTTTGGAGAGAAGGGGAGAGTAGAGTAGCAGTGCTCCTGGGAAATGAATACAGATTCCGTCCTTACTGACGTCATCCTTAGGTGTGGACCACTGTACTAGTGGTCGGTCAGCTCACACAGCTCAGGTGTGTTGGGGCAGAAAGCAAACTGAACATTTAGAAGTTACACTTTTTAAATAAACGAAGGAAACTGAAATTCAGCTCAGTTACGTACTGTAGAGATCTAAGGCTTCCTTGTGTGTTCTCCTTGCCAAAGATCAAACCCAGAAAGAAGTTCTCACATGGTAGGTGAGCACTGTATCACTGTACTCTTCAGCCTCCTGTGCCCCACTGAAGACGACTTTAGGAACTTTAGCTTTGTTGGAGTTCTGTATCAGTAAAGATGACACCAATATTCACTATCCATGTACAAACTTACATTGCACAGAGCTAATCAGCAAATAGGCTTCTGATTTCTAGGTCTGTGTATGAGAGATATTAAATTCAGACTATGCTGGTTTATTTGTTGAAAGTTGAACTGTAATAACAGCTTTTTTTTTTTTTTAATTTTGAGACAGGGTTTC